TTTTTTTTTTTTTTGGTACTGGGAATCGAACTCAGGACCTTGCGCTTGTCAGACAGGCACTTGTGCCACTGAGCTATATCCCCTGCCCAGATCACAAAACCAAATACAGAATATTTCAGTGAGATGTATTATTCTGTTGGAGGTGACACGTTTCACTGTTCCATTAACCTGTTGCTGTGGCTTGGATCCACCATGCTTCCCCAGAAGTCTCCCGTGTCTGGAGGTGGACTTGCAGAGGCACTGGACCGACCTCGCTGATAGGTCGGTGGTTAATACCCGCACGTTCCGTGCAGGAGGCGGATCACGGGGTGTTGCCTTTGGAGGATGTGTTCTGTTCCAGTCTTTTCCTCTTTGGCTCTTCCCTTGTGCTCCTTGTGCTGGCTGCATGAGGGGAGCAGCCTTGCGCCACCACACCCTTCCCTCCTGATATTTCTGCCTTGGAGCCAGCCAAGCACTGACTGAGGCTTCTACAGCTGTAAGCCAGAGTGAGCCTCTCCTGCTCTATTGTCAGGCATTTTGTCCCAGTAACAAAAAGGATGAATATACCCTGTTTTATATTTGCTTGACATTTCATGCTTCTCATAAGGTTCTGAATATAACATTTTATTTAGTTTTCTTCTACACCTTTGTGAAATAGGTATAAGAAGGAGTTCTACTTCATTTATTTTTTAATGGTGCACTTATTTATTTCAAAAGTGCAGCATAAATAGGTATGGGATAAACCAGCTCTGCAGAGCAAACTTGGGCTGAACAACAAGAAAAACTGGGTAAAAGCCAAAATAAAAGCACACGCTGCATTCAGACGGCACAGGCTACCACATAAACTCAAGGCAGATAGTTTCACTTTAGAGATGAGGGTCTTGGTGCTCAGACCAAGTAGGGTATTTTTTTTTTCCGGTACCGAGAATCGAACTCACGACCTCGTGCTTACCAGGCAGGCGCTGTGCCGCTGAGCTAAATCCCCAGCCCCCTAGTAGGGTATTTACTCAGTTCATACGCAGTGATAAATCTGGAACTTGTACCCAGGACTCTTGACTTCTTACTTTGTTTTTTTCTCTTCTATGCGGATTATAATAACAGATTCAAGAGCAAAGCATGCACAACCATCAAGGAGAGAAGTAAGCTGAACATGAACCTGGGCTTAGTGTGTTTCTTTTTCCCCTTTTTTTGCACTGAGGCTTGAACCTAGGGCCTTGCCCACTCTGCCTCTGAGCTGCGCCTCAGCCCCACAGTGTTGTAACGTTTATACTCCGTCCGACCGTGGTATCTTCTGACACATCCCAGCTGAATTCCGCTGACATGATTATGTAAGAGCAGTGAAGAATGAACAATGGGCTGGATAAGCTGAGACAATGAGGCTGTAGCAGGTTGTTTGCTGCCAGTATTAAGTTAAAGGTCTTGGTTTAATATCTTCAATTTTGTAGTTGGTCCTGGAAACGCAGTAGCATTCATTTCTCCAAGTTCAGTGTTCCCCTGTGCTCCAGAGCTGTGCTGAGGGACATCTGAAGGGTCTCTGCAGGGGCACAATTGCTGAGAACATGAGGAAGGGTTCTTGTTAGGTGTTTTTTACTGTCTTTTGAAAGGGGAGTGAGGGGGAGGTTGGGGGTTAAGTGTTTCAGTGTTAAACAAGGGATCTGAATCACTGAGAACTTTCTCCTCACTGTCTTTAAAGTCATGTTATTTAAACAGTGCGTGTGTGCAACACATGATGCGGACATTCCTGGTGAGGAGCTGGTGCGTGCACATGACATGTCCCAATTCTCATCCTTTGCCCCTCCCTCCCATCCCCCCTGCCATCTCTGGACCCCCTTTCCGTTTGAGAAAGGTATAGTTTCCTACTTCCTGTCATCTGTCTTTTATTTTGCTCTTTTGCATTCATAACGTTAAAATCTCAGCCCCCTAAAATAAGCAAACTTCTTCATTTTGAATGCTTGCCTAGTTAGAGGATTCGTTCAAATGTGGGGGAAGTGTGATCCATCTCTGGGTCTTCCGCCATCTCATTCCAGCATCCAGTTCGGTTCTAGTTGCCGTGCTGTGCTTTTGTCGCTTGGTCTTGATGTGCTGTTTATGCCCAGTGACTTTCTGTAGGTCTTCAACTCCAGCCGAGTTCCCTGCCTTCTTTCTGGGACTTTTCCACACTTTAGTTTTAGCTCACTTGGTTGTATAGGCCACTATCATTAAGACCTAGTGAGATTCTTCTGAGGGGTAGGTGTCCCATAGAGCCATGTGGAAAGTAGTGAATACAGTGGGTAAAGGTAGGGTTCCTGGGATCATGCGTTCTGCTAGCATTAGTTTCCTCATGTGTCTGAATGGAAATAATATCTTCCTCTGAAGGGAGTTGCTGAATTAAGTTAAACACAATAAAACATTTAGCACACATGGTAAGGGCTCAGTAAATTCAAGTGTAAATTAGTCTTACTGTTATTATTATTGGAAGGGGACAGTTCGGGCTTTTCATGTGACTTTGGGACACTTACTTTACCCATTTGGATCTCACTTATTAGCAAGGGTGCTGCTGTGGAAATCATTGGTGAACGCTGCTTATGCCAGATATGTTCATATCTCTTCTGAAAACCTCTGAATCCCTCCCCGCCAGTTCAGTTCCATTTCCACAACCTAAGAAGCCTTTGTGCGATTTCTCATTATTCAGGCCTTTCTCTGCTCACCAAGGTGACTTATATTCCTTTAGGTTCTCCTAGATGACAGCCCACTTACTACTCCATTTCATGAAAATATCCTCCAAATAGCCGCTAATGATAGGTTTGGTGTAATGGTTTAGTATGTTGTTCTTTTTAGGTTGTATTTTAAAAAGCCAGAAAGATCCTTATGGTGAAACTTTAAAAAATTTATATATTTCAAAATTTCTACCAAATCTGAGTGTGGTGGTGCATGCCTATAATCCCAGTACTCAGTAGGCTGAAGCAGGAGGATTATTGGGAGTTGGAGGCCAGCCTGGGCTACATGGTGAGTTCGAGCCCAGCCTGAACTGCATAGTGAAACCGTGTCTCAAAAAGATAAAAGAAAATTTCCACCAAACCTTGGGGGTCTAGGGAAATGATCTCAGTGACTTTCCTCATCTAGCACCAACCATAAAATGCTTTTCATTTATTGTATTTTATCTTAATAGTTATTTAAATCTTATGTTAATGTTCTAAATTACATATCAGTTCCTGTTTAATTCCCCACCTGCTTAAGCTTCCAGTAAAACTGGTACTTCAGTGTGTACACCATGTGCATCTTGCGGCTCTGAGTGCCCCTTCCAGCCTAGTTTTGAGCAGTGATGTGGTGGTTCTGAAGATGCGACTTCCACCTGTGAGGACCATTTTTGGGAGGGGCACACAACATACTTTAAATGGGCTATTTTTTGACTATGCTCAAATCACCTTAGGGAGTTGACTTGTGAAACACTGAGGAGAGTTTTCAATTCTTCTGAATTGCAAACTGACACTCACCACTGATCAGCATCCTTGGAAAATGTCAGTGGAGCAGCTTTTTCTGCTTAGGGCATAATGTCACGTCTAAAGTTCTGAAATACTCACACAATGGCATAGTTCAGCTTTTATACCTTTGGGATATGTGGAAACTTGCATTTATGGAAAGCTCACTTTCCTTTGTGAGCAGGAACTTTCTCGGATATCCTCGGATCTTTGCTTGCAGTAGGAAGGCAGCCTGGTAAAGGGTGATTAAGTGTGGCCTGTAGCACCTTTCACACAACCTTTTATGGTTTACATGAAATGTTTTATGATTATGATGATCTCTCAAATGAGATGAGATTTGCAGTTGTGCTCCCGTCTACCAGCCAGTACTTTACTGTCTGTATTACTTGTCACATCATAATCATTTTTTGGTATTTGCATTTTTTTTTTTTTGACAGGGTCTCACTATGTAGTTCAGGCTGGACTTGAACTCAGTGTTTAGCTCAGGCTGGCCTCAAACGCACAGCAATCCTCCTGCCTTAGCTTCCCAGGCGCTGGGATTGCACATGTACGCCACCATGCCCAGCCCTGGCATCTGTATTTTCTGTGAAACTATAAGCATAGATCATGGGTGTTGTAAAAAATGTACTAAGTAGAAGGTACTTTTTCTTTCTTTACCATTGGAGATACAGTAGGAATTTGGCAAGCAAGGTCTCTAATCTCATAGAGTTTAGCTCTTTAAAAATTTTTCAGTGGAGGAATTTGGGATGAATGTGGGCAAGCTAGGCAAGAAATCTAGCACCGAGATACACCCCAGCCTAGAACTGAGTCATGTTTATTTATATGTATGCATGTTTTATGTATGTTTGTATGCATGCATGCATGTTTGCATGTATGTTTGTGTGCATGTATGTATGTACTTAGGTCTCTTTTTGAGACACAGTCTTGCTATATAATCCAGGCTGGTCTCAAATTCAAAATCCTCCTGCTGAAGCCTCTTGAGTACTGGGATTGCAGGCCTGTGTATCCCTGCCCCACTGCACCACTACGCCCAGCTTGCAGTTAGATTCGTAATACAGTCGGGGTGAACGGAACTTTCTGTGATGATAGAAATTCCTTTTGGTCTTGTCCAGCATAGCATTAGCCACATGTGATCACTGAAGACCTGCAGTGTGGCTAGCGTGAATAAGGAACTACAATTTTAACTTTAATTTTAGTTAATTTAAGTTGCTACACATTCGTGGGCTACTGTCTTGGATGATACTATTCTAGAGGATTAAGGAGTGGGAGAATAAGTTAGTAAATAAATAAAATGATTTCATGTAAGGATTTAAACAGAAAAGGAAGGAAACAGGTGATGAATTATAATGAGGGGAGTACAGCAGATCGGTGAGTTTAGTTAAGCAGGCATTGTTAATGCAAATGAATGAATTATGAAGTTATGATTGGTAAAAACCTTGCTACTTGATACTTTGGGGACACTTCTTTGATGGTCTAGTGATTTCCTTTGGGAAAACAGATCCCGCGTCTCATTGTAAGCCCTTATGTTTCCATCTTTTTATTAACTGCAAATACTTTTCCTAGCCCTGAATTGTCATCTCCAGTTCCTATTGGTGGCACCTCAACACTGGGAGGTATGCTTTTGTGCTTTTATTCACTTTTTAAAACAGTTATCTATGGTTTAAGAAAGTCTCAAGCATGTGTAGTTTTTCTATGCACATTTAAAAAATTTTCTCTTTATGTATTGTTCAAGAGTCCCAAGAAAAAGTAATTATTTTTCACTTATGGCATGTTGTGAATACTCGAACATCTTTGTTAATCACACTGCAAATCAGAGCACAGTGTTAACAATGAATGGACGACCTAATGCATTATTTCAAGGCTTATGTCAAAAGGTGGAACATTTCTAGTGCTAATTATTTGTCATTGGCCTTAGAGTTTCCCAGAGGGAGGACTTTTCTGATTGCATATTGTGGTATAGTTTAATGTGCACCTTCGACCTCTGTATGCCTTGTGAATTGGGGTTTTTTTCCCCTTTATTTTTCATTGTAAAATACAAATTTTTTGGTATTAGAAATTTCAAACATATACAAAAATAGAATGGTGTGATGTGGTCCAGTTTTAATGATGATCAAAACAGAGCCAGTCTCTAACTTCACCCACTTTCCCTTTATAATATTTTTGCATGAGAATGGAAACTTTGTTTTTGTATCCCCAGTACCTAGCACAGAGCATAACCTACTGTAGATACTAAAAAAAATGCCTGTGGGGAGTTGTAAGTATTTCTTGCTCAGAGAGGACCCCTGTGAGTGTGTCTCGAGGTTAAGGTGGACTGCATTTCCAGTATGAAAAAGCAAAGGACTTTACAAGTAGTTTTTGAAGTCAGTTCCTGACGTCTTGGTACACCTTCCAACGTGATCAGGGACTGAATTCACGCATGTGCTTTTGTTTTCTGCTCAGGTGCTGTACACTCCTATGAGGGTGCCTCTGAGAGTAGCTTGCAAACACCGGAGGAGAGTGTGAGTCGTGATGTTTTGCACTTAGCTTCTAACGGGGAGGACAGGTGTTAGGGGAAAGTTTATATCTCATTGGTGAACTACCTCGGACTTTGTGTGGTGCCCTGCTCTAAAAATATCACAGATTCTAGAACCAGTGCATTAAAAATCTGATGTTCCTTGGAGAACCAAACAAATCTGCCCTTTCAGGGAAGGTTGTAATCTGAGAGGGTTTCAAATTTTACATGAAGTGACAGGCAGCTTGCAGAACTCTCACTGTGGTAAGCTTATATTATAATCATAAATCATGTCTTAGCTGTCTCTTCTTTAGAAGAAAATACAGATTTTATGTAACTTAAAATTTAAAAATTAACATGATTTAAAATGCACCATTATTAATAGGAACTTGTCTACTAAACAACATTAAATCCTATATTTGAGTCTTTATTGTAAAAAAATTAGACATTAAGTAAAAGTATTACACATTGCCCATGTATATGAAACACTGTAGTGTTCTAGAAATGATAGACAAATATCCCTCCTTCCTTCTACATTTATTAAGTATAATTCTACTGTAAGAAACTGTTGTTACTTCACTCTAATTCATTTTTCAGTCACTTATGTATATCAGTATAACTCATGGATATTTATTTTATTATTTGGATTATAATACAATATTTATTTTGCTACTCAAATTTTTTTCTGCCACTGGAAAAACCTGGATTTTGTTATAGAATAGTAGTACAGAAAGGTGTTTTCTTTGGTCTTTTTGAGACAGGGTCTCGCTATGCTGTTCAGGCTGGCCTTGAACTCACTTTATAGCTCAGGCTGGTCTCAAACTTGCAACAATCCCCCTGCCTCAGCCTCCCAAGTGCTGGGATTACAGGTGTGTGCCACCATGCTTGGCTCACAAAAAGTTTGTTGGATATGGTTTTGACTCCATACAGCAACCAATCTTTAAGAAATGACCACTTTTTGAGCTGGTGTAGTATCAGAAAAGAATACTCTCAGTATCTCAAAAGGTTATTAATATTTCCTTCTTTTCTCCAGTATGTGTCTGCGTGGCCAGGTTTTCTTCATGCATTTCAACTAAAATATAATATTGCAATGAACTGCATGCAGAAGTAAACCTGAGATCCCAGCTGTCTTTTGTGTTAATCCAGATATTAGTAAAGAAGTTGCAAAAATGTAAACAACGTCACCCTTTCCACTTTTATTTTGCAGAAAATGTTTATTTTTACATGAAATGGGATTATTGCTATTTTAAAGTGAATTAATAAATATTTTTAAAATCTCTCTTGTATTTTTTCCACTTTTAAAATTTTAGTATATTAATACATGTGTGTAGTATCTAATGTTTACATTCCTTGTGGGAAGTTAGTACATGTACATAGCACGTTTTAATTTGGTAAATACTTATAGGTACAATCTGTATAAACCATGCTTCTTCAATTTACTCAATTTTTTTTTTTTTTTTTGTTTTTCTCCGGTACCGGGAACCGAACTCACGACCTTGCGCTTGCCAGGCAGGCGCTTTGCCGCTGAGCTAAATCCCCAGCCCCTCAATTATTTTTAAGAGTTTAAAAGAGCTCTAGGACCAATATTTGAGAGCAATCCTTCTAGACTATTTTTAAATGATAATTTCATAATAGTCAACTCTTTTAAAACTCACTTTGATGATTTCTTATGGAAAATTTTCTATCTTCCCTGGAACTGGTCAGTGTGTTTTCAAAGGAATGTACAAATACACGGTCATTTTAATATTAGCATATGTCTTAAACTCTATCCAGTTTATTTCAAGATCAGATACTGCAGAAAAGTTCACTGTCAGAAATGACCTCTGGCGCAGTGTCTGGAACTTTGCACGCAGTCGGGAAGTATCTGCTGTGATTGAGTAACACTGACAGTGTTTTCTGAACATCCAGATCAGCAATGAAATTCTGAGTGTTATTGAAGAGCCCACAGAGCCAGCGGCTGAGCAGATTGCAGAGTTCAGTGTCCGCCTTCTGGGGAAGCAGTACAAGCCCGAGCTGCGGGACCCCGCCAGCTCCCACCACAAGCATCTTGCGGAAGAGTTTATTTCAGAGGTGGGTATTTCTGTCTACTAACAAATAAACCCTCTTTCCGACTTCTGCTGTGTAGATAAAGATTGAGCTTCACTGCATGGTTTTGAGTTGCCAATAGTTGGAGAAATGAGCATCTCCGAGAAATTATGAATAGTGTGTTGTTTTTCTTGAGGGAGCATTAAATTAAATTTTAAAAATCTGTCTTTGGTGTTCTCTTTTGTTACACTGAAAATTTTGTGTAGTTACTACCTAGGTGATACAGAGTTCGGAGTAAAAAAGACATCCAGTAAAAACAGACTTCTCTCCTATATTCGTTCTTTGGTAAGAGGTATTTTTTTAAAAAAGATTTCTTTAAATAACTGTGAACTAGACCACACCATCACTTCAGTTGCTGAAAAATTCCGCACAGGACTCAAACTCAGGTCTCTTCCGGTTAAGAATGACCCGCCCCAGGCCCTGTCCAGCGTGCCTTTGTCCTGTGCGGTGGGCACTGGAGTCCCTCTGTCCTTCTCTACCTGATGACAGCGCCCGTCGTTCCTTCCTGTTTCTTTTTCATTCCCTCTTGACTGGGTTCTGCTTGGCCAGGGTTTTCCATTCCATTAATTTGGATTAATTTCCTTCCCCAGACACTGTCCAGATGGGAGATAAAAACATGCATCACTTAGATTGCTGCGGTCATCCGACACAGAGTGTTGGACCGACGTTTCACTTTCCTAGCCAGCCGGCCGCGCTGCAAGGCTGTAGGGAACGTGCAGGAAATGTCAGCCAGGCCGGCGTCTGCCTGGCATCAGGCAGGGCCTTGGGTTGGCTGTCTGGCTCTTTCTGCCCTTGGATTAAGGGACACTTAATACGTCTTAGTGTTCGGGTAAGCAACTGTGTGGACCGACTGCAGACGTAGAGGAAATCCAGTAAACACTCCGCAGACCGTCTTTAGCTGAGATGTAAGGAGAAGGTAAAGCGGTCTGATGGTGACGGAGGGCCTGGCCTGTCAGGAAGTTGCCCCCTCCTCCGGCCTGTGCCTGGGCCGTGTGTGCCCTCCTCACCTGAGTGAAACGCCTCCCAGTAGCTGCCTCATGTGGAGCAGCAGGGACAGGAGCTCTGTCTCCGGAGGATCTTGTCGCTGTGGGGCTGAGCCTAAGGGAACCTGCTCCGGGCGCGTCCCCAACATCACACGGCTCGAGCCCTCGGTGGTGCGTCCTGCGTGGCAGTGGGGACCCGCCGGGACAGGAAGGCCCGTTTGGAGAAGATAGGGTCAGGCTTGCCTTTGCCTTCTTTTTTTAAAATGAGGATAAAGTAAGAGGGGGAGGCAGCATGGCGCACTAGCAGCAATGCCAAGAGGATGCCAGAGGGAGGGCCGGTGTGATAAGCTTGGGAAGGTCGGTAAGGGAGGACGGCCTTCATGCCCGCGCCTGCTGCTGCCCCAGGCTGCATCCGCCCGCCTGCTCTCGCGCGTCGCGGGGATGAGCGTCTTCGTCTCACGCGTGGGGTTCTGCAGGCCAATGGCTTGTCCGGGGTTGTTTCAGCCTCTGTGGGAACAGAATGTAAAATCAAATTTCTTTTCACCTTTCAAAGTGTTCCTCCCTTCTACTGTCTGGAGTTTTTTTCATTTCAATTCGGGGAAATGTGAATTTCAGTTTTTGCAGTCCAGATCCTAATTCTAAAACACTTATCATGAGGCAGCAGGGAGAGGAGAAGATAATGTCATTCAGTGGGAGAAGTTTGGCTTTAGTGTCAGAGGAATTTGAAGTTAAATAAGTTCTGATTCACAACAACAACAACAGAATGCCCCTGGCCAAGTTATGTGACGTCTTAGTGTCTCAGTTTTCTCATTTATAAATTCAAGATAATATGTAAGTCTCGGAAGTGTTACCAGGATTGGAAGCGATATTGCAAAGCACCAGATGTAACAGTCACTCGATTCCAGAGGCTTCTGATTCCTTGTCCCACAAATTCCATCTCTATCGCCATCTTAGAAGAATTTATTTTTTCTGTGGAAAAAGTAAAGCAAAGTGAAAAAGTGTCATAGGTTTTAATTCTCTTTTGTTTTTCTTTTTTATTGAAACAGGGTCTGGCTTTGTAGTTCAGGCTCTACTTGGACTCTCTGTGTAGTCCAGGCTGGCCTCAGACTCACGGCGATCCTTCTACCTCCGAAGTGCTGGGGTGACAGGCGTGGACCACCAAGCCTGGCTGAATTCTATATTCTTAAACATGAAGATGTTCAGTAATCAGAATTCTTAAAAATTCCACTCCCCTGATTACATAATGATTTGGTTAAAAAACAGATGCCCAGAGATGCCCCCAAAAGTCCATTAAACTAAATTCCATTATTCTGGTCCTGATCATAGTAACCCATCTCTTCAGCTACCTTCTGAAATGTTACAGTTTAAATGCTCAGTTTGATGAAAATAGGTATTTTCATATAACCTGATTAGCTTTAGATCTTTAGCATATTCCTCCAGTCACTAAGCTCATATGGAATTACATGGCTGAATTTTAAAGACTCAGTATTAAACCTGTGGGTGGAACGCTCACGAAGCGATGGCTGCCTGCGGTCTCCTGGCCTTCGCTTTGGGGCAACCAGGCTACGAGGCCTCTCTCCTGCGGCTGATTCGGGACTTGTGCCCTTCTTTCAGATGCTTAGTGTGTCCGCGGTTCTCTTGTGCTGCAGGAACATGAAACAGGTATCGCCAGACACTTTCACACTTATGGAAACAAACACTTCACTCTGTCAGTGTACTGACTGCGGCCGATTTTTTTTTTTTTTATTTTAAAGATAAAAGGAGGGAAACATTAACAGACATACAACAT